TCTGTATAGATGTACATATACTTGCACAAGCACTTGAACACATATATGAACACACAGAGAGAAGGATAATGCAGAGATGGAACCTCAATAACAGAAACTCTGTGACTCACTTGTAGCTATTGCTTTCTGTCCAAATAGCAAATTCTCATATATGCACTCAGGTGGGAAACTATGTGCAGATGTCTGTATAGATATCAGCTCCTCTTCCCATTCATTGGTACACTCATTCTTTCCATAAGCATTCATGAAGCACCCACTGAGGAGCAGGTGGTGTGCTGAGTCCTGGAGATTTAGAACTGACTATTGAATACTGCAGTGACAGTGGCATAGGCAAGTAGACAAAATGAACAAGCCAACCAGTCATGACATGTGGTGGTTTGAAGGAAAATGGCCCCAAAGGGGAGTGGCAATATTAGGAGGTGTGGCTTTATTGGAGGAAGCATATCACTGTGGATTTGGCCTTTGAAGTCTTATATATGCTCAAGTCATGCCTGGTAAGACAGACTACTTCCTGTTGCCTGTGAGTCAAGATATAGACTCTCAGCTACCTTTCCAGCATCACGTCTGCCTGCATGCCACCATGTTTCCCACCATGATAATAATGGACTAGACCTCTGAAACATTAAGCCACCCCAATTAAATGTTTTTCCTTTTTAGGAGTTGCTGTGGTCATATTGTCTCTTCACAGCAATAGAAACACTAACTAAGACATGAAAGAAGATGCAAAAATGACACAGAAAAATACAGGCACAAAGTTCTCAGAGAACAGAGGGGAACACTATTTCTACACCGGTGAAGTCTCATTGACAAACATTTAGCTGATCTGAATTCTCAGTATAGACTGAGCAGAAGCCAAGACTCTTACCTGTGGCTCTACAGCCAGGAGACTAGCAAAGCAAACCACCATGGGAACAAAGAACCCTGGGACCACTGATTGGTTCAAAGCATAGCCTGAGGCAAGTGTGGGAGCTAAGTTGTCAAGTGGAGGGGATGGAAAAGTGGAAAGGTCAGAAGAAGGAATCATGCTGGTTCTTTCTAAGAACGACGCTCAGAGCTGCCTGTTGTGGTTGGACTTATGTGTGCCCTGTGGCATCAGCAGTGAGTGTGGAAGAGCTCAGGGACAGAAACAGAAAAGACCCAGTTGAATAATCCTATTGGCAGATGCTGGGGAAAACCGTAGAGAGGAATCACACATGCTGGTTTTAAAGTCTGGGTGAGAGTTTCTGTCAAAGAAAATTCCATGGAACTGAGTGTTGATAGCTCCATGTGCCTTTTCACAATACTGTCTGTATGGCATTCAAGGCTGTCTGTCTTCAGACACCAACCTAAGATTCCATCCCAGCATATTCTCCTCCATGTTTACATGGGCTCATCTATTTTCCCCAAGTAGTCTCCAATTCTTTTAATTTTTTTATTATCCCCTTGTCCCAAAATGCCTTACCTTCTTCTCATTAAAACTGTGCATTTTCCTCTTTATTTCTTATTTTTATTTTTATTTTATTTTTTGGGTTCTTTGAGACTGGATTTCTTTATACAGCCCTGGCTGTCATGCAACTCTCTTTGTAGACCAGGATGACCTTACACTTACAGAGATCCACCTGGCTCCATCTCCCAGGTACTGGGATTAAAGATAAGTGCCACCATCACCCACCTAGCTTCATTTTTTAACCTCTAGCCCATTTAAATAATAGTCCATCTTGGAAGTCTTCCCCTCACAATACTAATGCCCTAGGGGAAAAAGGAGCCATTCCTAAGATCTCTTTAAGGTTGTCACTTCTCTTTAAGGCTTCTCTTCTGCCTTTGATTAAACACCATGGCTCAAATACTTGTTTGATAAGTGAAGACTATGGTAAGCTGTCTGTGGACCAGGGCACCAGGCCTAGCCTCTTTACTATAAAATGTGTCATCAGAAGAGGACCTGAGTTAGTGCCTGATGAGCTTTGGATACACACACCCTTGATTCACCAGTTATTAACATCCCAGGAAGTTTACTACTTTTTCTGAATCATTTGAAAGTGAGTTGCAAGCAAACACCCTGACATTCAGCCCCAAACATTTCAGCATGCCTCTCCCAGCTATATGGACTTCTCTATAAAACCACCACAATATTTTCCAATCTAATTATCAGCCATCTCCTGGGATCTACAGGTTCCACAGTAGTGTCAGAGATGTCTACCAAACCTTCCCTCTTTAGATTGAAGATCCAATCAAACCCATCCATTGTGTTAATCAGTCCACTTTTATCTTCATTAAGACATTATGATAGTCAAGTATTTCCTCAACTTCCGAGTGTCAAAAATCTTAAAGAACTCTAAGAAAACCTATTACCAGAAACAGGGATGAGCCAGTAATGTTTCCTGGCCCAGGAAACATGAGTTATTTCTGAGAGTGCTGGCTGCCTCCAATGGAGAATGATAGTCACCACCATCACCTAGAGCAGTGGTTCTCAACCTATGGGTCGAAAGCCCTTTGAGGATTGCATAACAGATATTTATATTATTATTCACAACAGTAGCAAAATTACAGTTGTAACATAGCACGGAAAATAGTTTTATGGCTGAGGGTCACCACAACATGAGGAACTGTATGAAAGGGTCACAGGATTAGGAAGGCTGAGGACCATTTCTCTAGAAGATCCTCAAGGGAAGGTGGCAAAAAATAAGGGCAACTGTCTCACCTAGCTAGGAGATGGGATGCCTCCTACTATCATCTACTATCACCTACTTTGCCCTAAACCCAGGGGATGTATTCCTTAAAAACAGATCACTGCATGACAGTTACCACCTCGGTGGGCCATGTGTGGGCACTAAAGCCCCTTTGAAACCACAACTGATAAATTACAGAAATTGGGGGAACAGGGCAATTCTCATCAAAATGTCTGCACATGGGCATTTGTTTAAAGCAGAAAGATGAAACATCCCTCAAGAACTGTAGAGCAATTTCTCCTCCTAATTTCTCACAGACAACAGAAACATAGGATAGGCGGCTGCTGAGGGGCTTCATTAAATAAGAGGAAGAAGCTGGCTCACTAGTGAACAGTATACCAATAAGGAAAAGAAAAGTTCACCCATTACTGAAGAGCCAGAGACTTTACACGGATTCTAGGCTGGACTTGACTTTGTATGACCTTGGCTGGACTGCTTAACTTTTAGGAACTTTGTAGAGCAGAGGAAGTTAGAATTAAATCACAGTTACTTAAAATAAAAATTAAAAAAATAAAACTTTGTCTGTATATTACAACCGCTTGGTAGGGAGCTCTACAACTTGGGATTTTTAACCCATTCCTTTTCCTCTGTGATGGAAGTAGCTCTGAGTGGGAGATCAGTGTTGCTTTTCCCCCCACGCCCCTACAGGGTCACTTGGAGCCCAAGCTGACCTCGAACTTATTAAGTAGTTGAGATGCCCTTGAACTTCTGATCCTCAGGAATTTGGGGATTACTAGTATGGATCAGCACAACTGGTCCAAACTGATCTTAAGCCGGGCAGGGCTGAGAACCTCTGCATGATAAAATGTTCAAAAAGTGATTCTCAGAAAGGAATTAAGTAAGTGAGCCAGGGAAAAGATCACTGGAATCCTTCCACCATTCCAAGGAGTGAAGCTGTCAGTATGCTCCAGTGTCTCCAACTTAAGCTCATTTCCCTCCTTCTCTGTGGAGATACATAGGTGTGTTTTGTTTGTTTGTTTATTCAGAGAGGAAGATCCAGGAAGCCAAGCCAAGATCGCAACATAATTCTGTAGATGTTCACCCACCACCTTTTTTTTTTTTCGGTGCTTGCTTCACAGAGCTGGGAGACCACTGAGGAGGGAAGAGAGAAGGACAACAAGATGGCCGCTGAGCCTGCCTGCTTGGCAGATTCCAACCCCAGCCAGCCACCACCAGCTCTCCACATGCAGGACTTGAAGCATCTGCCAGACGGGTGCTGGCTTTTGATCAGAACTGTGTCGAGCCAGAGACCTGCAGGGAAGCAGGCAGGCTCCCTGGAATTGGCTAGCAGGAGTCTTCCTAGCTTCCTCGAGCGAGTTACTTGAAGAATTTGAGCACAGACTGAAAACACGGGTGGATGGGGGCTGCATAGCAAAGACCAGGCCTTCTTTTTCTGAGGCCAAGTCATTCCAGCCAAGGGAGGCCACGGGCCCTTTCCCGTATGGCGGATGGAGCTGGATTTGGGGCTGCATTTGCAGATTTAGCTAGTGACTCTGGGCTCAGAGTCTTTTAACCTTGTGTGATAACACCTGTAAACCCGAGGCCACTAGAGTGGGTTCCCAGTGTCCCTGTGGGTGTGCAACACTGCAACGGGGCTGTTTACAAGACATGTGATCACTCCAGCGGGTCCACTCAGCAAAGTCTGCTGGAGGCCTCATTTTTTCAAGAGGTCCACTGGGGCGTGGGCTGCTAGTCTAAGGAAAAGCAACAGCTTGCATCCTTAAGGCAGATTCAGAAATCCTCCAAAGCTGTCAGGAGCCTGTGTCTGGCTCTGGCAGGAGCAGCCAGGCCGAGGGTTAAACAGAGGTCTAGCGTGTTCTGAGCCTGACAATAGCAGTCTACATGACTCCAAGCCTTTAGTCTTTCACGAAACAGTTGAGCTTATTGGTCCTAACCTCCAAAGAACCAACCCAGAGGACCCTGCCTAGCTCGATAAATAAATCCAATTCTACTCTAGCAGACTTCGACAAAGTTCAACTATGGGCTCTCTCCTGAATCTCCCTGTTAACTCCCTCCCAGCACCATAGCCCCATGCCTGTTCAGTCCTCCTTTCCTCTGGGGATAAGTCAGCCTGTTTGCCTTTTTTTTTTTTTTTTTTTTTTTTTTTTTTTGGGTTTTAATTCCTTCAAAGGATGAGGAATGTTGACACCCCTGAAACATGCCTCTGATGTCTGGTTAGACTTCAGACGGCTGCATGTGAGCGTACACTGACGCAATCGGGCCGATTGGGTTAAACCAAATATTACAATCGCAAGAACTCATCTGGAACTAATAATTTTGAGGCCACCGAAAGTAAAAGGGCCCGCTTTGGGCCTGGCCAGCGGCAGAGGCCAACTCGGGCCAATGCTGCCACCTGCCGTGGGCGCGGAGAACAGGGCGCGCCGCCTCGGCCTTCCTGTTTTGTTCGACCCTCTGCACCCATGCAAGGAAGGTTCTTCGCCAGCCAGACCAGGGCTATTTTAAAAGACCAGCGCCTATCCCCAACCATTAAGGTAAAGATAGCCAGTCTGGCTGCTCACTGTCTTCTCAGAAAAAGGACCACTTCCCAGTTATAGTCCCAGGCCTGCCTAGCAGGACACTCGGACTAGTCGGAGCTCCATTAAGCACATAACCCCTATACTCAAAAGAGATCGTGTCACTGGTTCACTTAGAGGAAAGCTCGTTTTAGAAAGAATGTTTTATTTTGCGGGGGATGAAGGAAATGCACAACTCTGGGTTCTGTCGGCACATTGCTGAACTGCAAGTCACGTGCCAGATCCAGAAATGATGAAAACATCTGTTTTTGCTTTAGCCCAGCGAGGCCCCGACAGTGGGGAGGGGAGGGACCGGACCGAGATCGCTTTGCTCACGAGCGCCATCTGCCGAGCCTGCGCGGGAAATGCGTGAATATCCGGCACAATGCAGGTTACTCACCCCCAGGAAGGGACAGATCCACAGGTGGGGGTCTGTACCCGAGAGACCACTATCTTCAGAGAACAGCCCTGGCTGTGACCCGGGAACTTTGCAACTCTGAATTGTCTCGAAGAGTACTCAACAAAGAGATCTGTCCCTGGAGACTGCTCTAGGCAGAGGAAGAGGCCGAGGGAGGCAGCGAATGAATTCCCAGGTTGTAAAGGAAAGAGGTAATGGGGGAGGGGGGAGGGCTTTTGGTTTGGAGACAGTAAAATTTGCGGTTCCTGCCGGCTGAAATCTCCCAGAACAAAGAAACCACTTCCCAGCTCCCGCCCTGCACTTCCTCCAACCAGCTCTCTCTCTCTCTCTCCTGCTATGGTGGTTTTGTGCAGTAGGTTTGAGAATGCTCCAGAATTCAGTGAACACTATTCTGGTCAGGCAGAGCTTGCCCATCCCTTTATGTGTAATTTGCCCAATCTTAAGAAGCCAGTGCTGGATCCGAGCTCTGAACAGGAGCCACACTGACAGCCATGACATGCCACCTTAGCGTTTTGCTTGCCTGCCAGGTGCCCAGCACTCACTTGGCACAACTGTATATATATATATATATATATATATATATATATATATATATATATATATATATGTACAGTGTTGTATACAATGACAGCTGGGACCGCTAAGGGAGGGGATTACAAATGCAGGCAGGATGTGGAATCCACCTTTGCTCTCAGTCCATCATCTCCCTGAGGAATTCCTTTCCTCAGCCTGCTTCCATCCTGCCCTCCAGTCCCTTATACATAAGCCCTTCTCAGAAGTTCAGGCAGCACAGTCTCAGAGAACCATAAGTGGCGTCCCACTATCTCATGTCAGAATTGTTCTGGGCCCCAGGCCCCATTCCCACCATCTCTTCCTTACCAGATGCAGATGCTAAGGCTTTACTGTGGGGCTATATGAACAGTGCTTCCCACAGGACGAAAAGAGTTAATAAGAAGAGCCAAAAGTCTGGCCAAGAAGATTTAGGCTTGCCAGGGGCTCCTGTGTCCCTTGAGACTCGACTGCTGAGCATACCCTCAGCTCTGAGGCAACATTCCCCAAAGTAGTCTGTGCAACCTGGCTGTCCTCTAACCTACAAACTGGCAGGTTTAAAAGGGAAACTGGGCTATCTATCTTTCCTACCCCTCTCTCAAGCAAGTATAGAGTTGTCCTTTGTACAGGTCAGGGACCTGTCTACAATCTAAGGCATTTCCGAAAAATACACTTCGTTTTTACAGCTGGACAAATTTTCTAAGAAGTGACCCCATCTTCAACATATCCCCACTGACCGTATGTTTCCATGGTTCCAAGTTTTTAGATTGCTAAGGCCCAAATTAACCTTCTGAGCCCCTGCAGACTCACCTGAACCCAGTAAGTGCCGAGCTCTGGTTCTGTGACATCCAGTTCTCAGGGAACCCCTCCCATCAGTACAGTCAAGTTCATTTCTTGTTTTAGGCCATAAGATGACTTTTAGTCTGACTTAAAATTGGCCTAGTATAGAGAGTTTTGTTGAATTTTCTTTGTTTTCTACAGAGGAAACTTAATGCTTACTGTCTCGTGTCTCTTTTCTGGTCTCTTGACTCTTTTTCTTATTTCTACCTTGTTCTGCAACAGGTCTTTGTTTGGATGCACAGTGGAGGGGTTATGAAACTTTTTATACTGTGTTGTCATCTCAGAACTCAGATTTAGGGCGTTTTTAATCAGAAAAACAAAGATCTCTGAAGTGGGTTGCAATAATAGGAAAGAAAAAGGAGAAGAGGAAGACGAGGATGAGGAGCCGCAGCAATGTGGGTCAAAAATAAACATGGGTGACAGTGCTCCCGTCCATGTGCAGTGTCATTCCTCCCAAATATTTTTTTAGCCAAGACTCTCTTGTCCTCACATAAAAATCATTTGTCCCCCACTTTTCTCTATCTATCTTGGTGTAACGATCTCCACACAGAGACAAATAACCTTTGTTCAAAGCTCTGTTCTTCTAAGCTGGGCAGAATTCTGCAAGATCACTCTGCACACACAAGCTTAACACCTCCCTTGCAGCTCCAAACAAACCATAATCCAAAAGCCGCTCTTTTAAATAGAGGTTTCTTTTATGCTTAAATTCCTAAATAAAAGGAATGTCGACCGCTACTGCTAGTTTTTCCAGTTAAATCCGATTTTTTGCTGAAATGCCGCTTGCTCAAAATTCTGGGTGTGAACTGCAGGCTGGGCTCCTGGAACTGGAATTCTCGAGCTATCTGGAGGGCCCTCCAGTGGCCAAAATAATATCTGCCATAAACAAAGGGCACCAAAGCCAGGACTGCAACAAAGACAGAAGGGTGGTCCCTAGCCTGTTCGGAAAATCCTGCAGAGTATGATTCCCACATTTTGCTCCATGGAGGTGTGTCTACATAAACGAAGCTAAGACAGAATCTCAACTGGAAGGATGATGACGTTATTTGCATGACAAAAGAATCCTTCACGAGATAAAAGAGAGGCAGGTTTGAACTCCTTTAAATGATAACTCCCCCTATTTTTTTTTAAAAAAGATTCTATTGAACTGGGAGGGGGGTGACATGCAAATTTCTAGAACATCTGTGAAACCTAACAGGGTGCACTTAAGCTTGCTCTACTTGACCCCCCACTGATGTTTCTTTCTACCTGTGAAAGCCTCCTAAGTACTATGACCTTGAGACTCAGAAGTAAGTGGTCCTTGGAGGTGATATAAGAAGAAAAGCGGCAAGTTGAAGATCTGAGCCTAGAAAGCCTTTCTAGAGGACTTTGGAAAAAACAGATGGTTCCCCTGGACCTGACAGACTTCCGGTTTTTCAAAAAGTTCTAGATCTGTTACAAATTAGCACACGATGTCCACGGGCATGCCTCAGTTTCTCCTGGTAGACAACACAAGCCAGGCATAGATTTCTAGGGACTGTGCCTCCCTACTCACTGTAATAACCTTTGCTACCTGGAAGCATAGTAGAAAGAGAGGGGAGGAAGAATTCTTCCCACAAAGTCCCTTAAAGCCCTGATTCATTGTGAATCCCTCACCTTTCCATGTTTACATGTGTGACTAGCAGCCATGCCAAACCTCCATGCCCACTCCCGATCAACACACACACACACACACACACACACACACACACACGGACACTCTGGCCTGCTGGATGCTGGGAGATGCAGAGATGAGGCAGGGATGGAGAGAATAGCGCTTACCCTCCTCAGTCTGCTCCATCAGGCACTGCTGTCAAATGTCTTTTGTGCTATCATGATCTGTGTCCCCACCAATGTATATATTGAGATCATGCTCCCACAAAGTAATAGTGTTGGGAGATGGGGGTCTTTGGGTCATGAGATCAGGATAGGATGAGTTCACTCATAAAAAGCTGTGTCAGAGAGCTGCCTTCCCCTTTCTCCATTCAAGGAAAGAGCAAGAAAGCTATAAAGGAAGGAGAGGCCCTTGCCAGACAGACAAAATCTCCAGAGCCTCTGTCTTGAACTTCCAGCCCTGATTCAGGTCTGTGAGAAACAATGTAGTTTTATAAACCACCTACTTTGTAGCTTTGTGTTACAACCACCCCCAACGGAGTACAGCAACTGGGTATTGTTTGTTTTACATGCTTAGCTGAAGCAGGGAGCCAATGTCTGTCTGGAAACTGAACAAGAGCTGGTCCAAGTCCATCAAGCTCTAGAGAAAGGACATGCATGAAGATGAAGTGCTCTATGGCAGATGGGTGTATAGCAGCAGGACCACAAAATTCTCAGGTGGCAAAGGGCCAGAGACGAGGATCAAGACAACAACCTGCTCTCTAAGCACACCCACTCTCCTTTGCCACTGCCACCAGACACTCTCCAGTCTTCCTAGACTAGCATGGCCTTCTTTTGTCCTGTTTTGGGCATATTATCTGATTTCTCTGTCTTTCAAATGTTTGTGTGTTTGTGTGTGCATGTCAGGCTGGGGAAGCTGAAGTTACTTCTTTCCCATTTTTCTGTGTTCAAAATAGTCTTCATGCATATTGTATCCTGAAAATCAGGGACACCTACAGCTTCCTCCTCTATGGGAATAAAGTATGTCTCACACAGGGCTACAGGGGACTGAAGTAAAACAATTGTGGGTGACACTCATGGTTCTAGCATGTGAGATACATTGTCTAGTGTGTTTCATGGTCTGCTGGCACCTTCACAATAGCCAGTGAGTTGGATGCTAAGCCATCTGTATCGTCAGGGAGGAAACCATAGTGGGTAAGATGTTAAGGTGCGAAGCATCACAAGACTCCTGAGTCAGGATTCTGCCCCAGAGCCCAGACTCCAAACATGTGATTCAAAGGTGACCGTGGAGAAGCATGCCAGGCACACACCTGAGCTCATACACCTCATTCTCGAGCTTGCTCTGGTAGTGAGCAAATTCAGATCCTCTTTTCTCTGTGCCCTGAGCACTGGGGTGCTCCTGATTCCCACTCACCACTTTGATGTCTCCAAAGCAGCAAGTCCTAAGGCCGCCTCGCTTCAGAAGACTCTCCAAACACACATTACTTTGAGATCTCTGCCATTCTGAAATCTGTCTCCAGATGGTGTGACTGCTGCCCCTCTCCCGGTAACTCTGCAGACACTTCTAGTACACAACTCCAGGCTGGCAAGTTTTGAACTCCACGTACATTCAGCCATTTCTTATATTTATTAAATTGTTTGATCAGCCTGAGGCTATGCCTCCTTATGACCAGGATTTTGTTTGGTTTGAAGAATGAAGCATCTTCAACACCTGGAGAGTACCCAGTCAAAGTTTGCTAAGTGAAACAAGCCAGCTTTTACATGGTCCCTTCTTCCCAGGTATGGCCACCAGCCATTTACATGTCCTAAAGATAATTCACTACCTTTTCCATGCCTGTCTTTCCTCTCCCTTCATACCCAGGTTAACAATATCAGCCTACCACTCCATCTTACAGGCAGGGGATATTGAAATCATTCTAGCCCTGTATCACTTTGTCCATTTGTTTGTTTGTTCATTCCTTCATTCGTGTGTGTGTGTGTGTGTGTGTGTGTGTGTGTGTGTGTGTGTGTGTGTGTGATATACATAAATTGTGTGACGTACGTACACATTGAAGTGTGTGTAAATGTGTTGAAGGGACCAGGGTGATTGGGGTGACCGCGGTCGTGGCCTGGGACCCCGGATACCTGAGTTTTCCGGGAGTCTATGATATCATATGGAGGTCAGAGGTCCATGTCAGGAGTCTTTCTTGGTATCTCCCAACTTTATTCTTTTGAGACAGTTTTCCCTCTGAATCTGGAGCTTTCTGATTGGCTAGACTAGCTGGCCAGTGAGCTCTAGGGATCCTCCTGTCCCAGCACCCCCCCAAAAAATAAACAGGGATATGGGCTTTTCAAAATGGGCTTTGGGCATCAAACTCAGGTCCTCACACTTACCTGTCAAGGGCTTTACTAAGTCATCTGTCCAGTCCTCTCTGTCACTCTCTGGGGGGTCCTGGTGGTTACTTGAGCTTTTTGGATGTCATTATCCCTAGGATTCTGCAAAAGCAATCTCTACCCATCTCTCTCACTTTGTGGGGAGACTCTTCCTGGATGAAACAACTGAAGACTGCTGAAATAAAGGTGTGCTAGGATCAGAAGGGAGAACAGTGTGGAGAAGCCCATCAAGAGGGAGGGGTGTGGACTATGGTGATGGCTGCTGGGAACCTTTAGAAGCTATAGCCATGAAGCATCTTCCCATGTCAAAACTCCTACAGATCTGTCTCTATCATAATTCTCATCACCCCTTGGAGTCATTTCAACATTTTCCCACCTCAAAGACAAAAGAATAAGCACATAAGATATTTGGCAAAGTGTCAGATAGCCACAAATATCAACATTTGCCTAGCCTATCTCTACTGTTCTTCTCTCAAAGTGGGGTCTGTAGAGTTGCCATGCTGTATGAGTTGACTTGCTTTGTTACCCAACTTTTCATTTTATCTATCAAGCAGAAGTCACTACTTGCCTGATGATATGTGATATGTACCTCCACCCATTTCTTCCAGGGATGGAGAAACAAGCCAAATGAACGACATTCAACAGGTTCTTGTACAGAGGTGGACAATGAAACACAGGCACAAGTGCTGGATGGCTGGTCTGGGAGAACTCTTTAAAACAGAGTTACCCCAGCTGTGAGATTCTCTTTTACACTCAGTTTGGGGATCCCAGTAAGCACTTACTGACTGTATAAGGAGCAGCTGAGGTTCTAACAAGAGTTGGTGGAGTCCTGAGAAGATGTGAGTGTGTAGTGTTTGACATGGGTACAGCCATGTCAAGGACCCAATGCCTCAGACCCATGGGAGTAGCCAAGTCTTTCCCCATGGTGAGGCTCAGAGGGATGGCAAGGCCTCCTTCAGGTCCAAGTGTGAATGTTGACAGTGTGTGTGTGCAGTTTCTTTTTTCTGAACCATCGACCAGTATGTGCAAAACCTAGCAAGCACGGCTTCCTTCTCCCAGATGGCTGCAACCTTAGACTGCTGGCTTCCTAAGTCCTCCAACTGAGACCAGCTAACCCCTCCTGCCTTGTTGTACATAATAAAAGCTCTGGTTCTGGCTTGTTGTTGTGTATTAGGTGTGTCCCTTTTGGGATAGCACAACCCACCTGATCCTAGGTTTTCTAGACACATGTCTGTGGGTCTATCCCTTCTTCACTCCGTTGTTGTCCCAATCCAGTTTTCAAGACCAAGCTGTTCAGGATGCCATACTTCTACTTTTCCTCCTTGATGTTGGGCCTTCAGACTTGATGGATGGAATGAGGGCTCCATGTGAACTTCAGACTAGAAAGCTAAAGGCAGAAATCAGTGCTGGATAGTGGAGCACAAAGATGGGGAAAACCTGAATGCTTGGGTTCTAGCCTAAGACAACTTTTCAATGAAAGCAAACACACAGAGTTTGCTTTTACAGCCATGGAGGATGTGCTTTCCATTATATGAAGCTGAACTTCACACTTGCTGATTGGTTCCTCAAGAGCAGGTTATACACATATGCATGCAATAACAATTAATGAAAATATAGGCCATGAATTTGAAGGAGAGTGGGCAGGGGTATATGGGAGGATTTGGAAGGAGAAAGGGGGGAAGGAGAAATGTAATTATATTATCTCAAAAGTTACTGTATCTAAAAATCGGGTTAACCCATCCCTTCATTGATTCAACAACCTTATGAAGTTTCAAAGGCTATTCTAAGCTCTGTGGAAATTAACAGTCAGAGATGATAATGACAGGCTTCATCCTATAGTAGCATCCCACTTTAAGTGAGTTCATGGATCTTCACTTTGTGTTGTCCCCACCAGGCTCACCAGCGTCATGGTTCGGATGACTTACGCTCTGGAAATAAAACATGTCCTGCTGGCTTAAATCTAGAATGCTCTCCCAAGGACCCATGTATTAAAAAGTTGCCCCTTAGCCTGTGGTATTATTGGATGGTGATAAAGCCTATGGGAAGCAGAGCCTGTTAAAAGCAAGTTGGTGCACTGGGCATGGGGGGTGGTCCTTTGAGGAGGTATGGAGAGCTCAGCCCCTTCTGTCTCTTGACTTCTAGGCTGAGTTTTCTCCTCTGCGGCATGCTGCAGCCATGACATACAGCACTGCTATCGCATTAAAGTACCAGGGTCAACTAACTGATCATGGACTGAAACATCTGAAACTATGACTCAAACCTTCAAGTTGCTCATCTCAGTTACTCTGTCACAATAGCAGAAAACTAACCAACACTCTCCCACCAGTGGCTATCATAGCCCCTTCTAGCTCATGTATGTAGAGTATTCTCAGATGAGCTTGGAATGCCTTTTAAAGAAGAGCAAGCCCCCAGAAGTCTACCAGCTCCTATTCAAGCCATGTGAAGACAGGAAACAGCTGCCTGTACCAGTATTTCCAGAACTATGTCAAAGAAGAGACAAGGAGAAAAAAAAAGTCCTACTATAGGGTTCAGAGAAAGAAGCAAAAAGCAATTTGATAATTTTTATTTTAGAGCCTGTGTTGCATGGGAGCTGTAGACATCCAGGCGTGAAGACTAAGGGACATACCATAAATCCTTAGGGAGGGAGGCAGAGGTCTAGGGTATAAATCCAGTAGTAGAGTGCTACCTTAGCATGCACAAGACTCTGTGTTCAATCCCTAGGACCAAAAGGTGGGGAAGGGCTGAGCAATCCTGGGAAATAACCTTAAAAGGTTGGCTACTCTTTGTATACTCTATAAATCAAGATGATTGTCTAGTTTTGTACATTTTGCTGAGGTTATTAAATTAGCTTTCCATTCCTGAGCACAATATATAGGATTGTATTGGGGCACTGGGGCCCTTGAACTTAGCCCTTTTTCCTGTTGAGAAAGACCCCATACAATAAAATGGCTGATGGGAAAAGGCATCAAGGTTTGGGTTAAACAGCCAACAACACACTCTTCTACCCTGAGACAGAAGTGGAGCCTGTGCCTTCATCAGGGCATCATACCACCTCACTCCACAGACTCAGGAAGCACAAGCACAGTCTGGACTTAAGGGCTTTAGGATGCATTTTATGCATTCACTCATTAGCTGAGTGCTTAAAATCTTTAATTTCCATTTCCTCATGAAGGCTCTGAGGATTTCAGTTGTCCCAGGAAGCAGGGATCATGTCAGCGTTGTTCACTTTATACTCTTAGTGGCTGAGAGGGTACTGGATAGAGAAGAGGGCTCCTAAGTTCTTAGGTGAATGTTGCCATGGGATCCATGACCGGCGAACTCCACCATCCAAGGAGCTTAATATCTTGCCAATTAGAGACTTGACCTTCATCTTCCATTCCCCCAGTGGCTATCCCAATCACTGGATTTTCCCTCCACTTGCTTAATCTTAGAAACTGTACACCTATAAGAGATTCCACACTCTATTCCCTCTAGCTCTGGCAAAAGCTCTGCACTTCCCCCAGTGGCTATCCCAATCACTGGATTTTCCCTCCACTTGCTTAATGTTAGAAACTGTACACCTATAAGAGATTCGGCATCTGCTCCAGTGGATTCCACACTCTATTCCCTCTAGCTCTGGCAAAAGCTCTGCATCATACTGTAATACTTGGGAAAACCATTTGATAGTCCCTGTGCAGTTGAAGTGGAGAGCATATTCACTAGCCAGCACTAAGTCCCCACCAAGCTCCTCCCAACTTCTCATCCCATCCCATCACATAGACCCATGGAGAAGGAAGCTCCCCCAGCTGCTAGTAACTTTTAGGCAGCTCCCTTCTTTTCTCTAGAGCTGTGAAACAATGATGGCTGGGGAGTCAGGATCCCTTCTACTAAATAGTGAATAGACCACCACACTTGTGACCTACCCTACCTGTGTGCCCACATTGTCCGTACTCCCTTATGCCTGCCATGTTCTCCATTCCCTTTGATGAGAGGCGTTCATAGCTGACCCTCCTATCTCGTGGGAAATGAAATGAAAGCTTGGGGAGATAGAAAGGAGGGGACTAAAAATTCCTCCTGTGAGCCCTCAGAGTGGATTATGACTCTAAGACCTTGACTATAGGGGTCATGTGGAATGGCTCTATAGTAAAGAACAACATGTCATCTGGACACAGGCTTCCTGGCCCCTACCTCAATTCTATTTCTTCTGCTTACTTGATGTGGCCATAGGCAAATGTCTTTGCCATCCCTTGCTTCAAAGTTCTTCTCCTGACAATGTCGATACCCTCTGTAGAAGGTTGTGAAAATTAAATGACTTTAAATAAGCCACTCTCAGAAGAATGTCAGGCCCAAAGCAATTACATATTTAATAATATTTCTCACTGTAGCAGCATTGCCATTGATCAAAATATTTCTAGCCTGTGTTAGAAGAGTATGCTTTTCAGTCTTAAACATATCTTGCCAACTATCCATGAACATCCATGAAACCAGTTTCCTCCATTGTTCTAGTTCTTGGGAGCAGGTAAGCAGTTTAGGCCTTCAGTGCACTTCTGAAGCCAACAGCATGGTGTTGTGTTTATTTACTGTCCATGAAAAACACACATGTTCACACACATCCAGACAGCTCTGCCACAACCAGGGCCGATTCATCCCGGGGTCACTAATTGGCTCTGCCTCAACCAGAAAGAGACTGAAGTCTTAATTATGAATCCTCTTCCTTTGATCAGCCCTGAAGGTTTTAAGGAACTGAGTATGACCAAAGGGCAAATTTCAGAAAAGTCTGATTTACATTTAAATCCAAGTTCTTTTTTTTCCCCCTCGTCTCCACAAAGTTTGCTGATGTCAAGTTTTAAATATGAAATGTCATTGTTTTCATACAGATATTACCAAGCGTTATTGGTTGTCATTTTGGCATTCAGTGGGGTTATGATATTACAATGGCAACATTAGCATTTTCAAAAGCCTATCACCATTGTTCTTCTGCAAATTGCTACAGCTCATATTACCCTACACATAATCTTAAAAAAAAAAAAAAGAATGGGATGTTAGCATCAAAGATCAAAGCTAGTGGGCTGAATGATGAGAAGGGTAGTCACCTCCCTTGTTCTGGGACACTAGTGGTCTCCTGCTAGCACTGTCACTGCTCTAATGGGATATGCAGCAATCCTGTGCACCACTGCACCCACACTAGCAAATGAAATAGGCACTGAAAACTTTCACAATGTAAAGGATTTGATAAAGTTTTACTGAGTTGCTGCACAGCAAAAGAATCTTCTATTTTTCTAATCATGAAAATCTCTACAAAAATACCATTTTTTAAAAAAGGCTTCATTGTACTACCATCAATAAGGAAGATTGTATGTGGTGTAAACAGCTTGCAAAGAAACCTGAGTGTATTTGTTTATTTATGCCTTTGGATTTAAAATTTTTTTCTAGTTGGAATGTTTCTAAAAATGTCTGCCCTGTAGTCACCCATATAAATGGGGCAAAATAGCATGGCCATTAACATCACAGCTTAAGGGAGTTCAGCTAGTTCATCCTGACTCTGTCATGTGACTGCATGTGACATCTTGGGGGAGCTAATCAGGACTATCCTCTTCTCTTTTTTTAAATTTATTTTTCTTTTATGTGCATTGGGGTTTTTACCTGCATATATGTCTGTGAGGATGTGGGATCACCTGAAAATGTAGTTACAGACACTTGTGAGCTGCCATGTGGGAACTGGGAATTGAACCTGGGTCCTCTGGAAGAGTGGCCAGTGCTCTTAACAACTAAGCCATCTCTCCAGCCAAGACCATCCTCTTTAAAGCTAAGATTCATACCTAAATCAAAGGGTCATTTTCAGAATTAAAGCCTCTGCATAAATAGTTTAGTATGATTAACAAATATAGATTCCAAAGAAGAGAACCAGCCTGGAGAGCTGGCTCAGCTGCTAATAGCACTGGCTGCTTTGCCAGAGAACTCAGGTTCAATCCCCAGCACCTGCATGGTAACTTACAACCATCCGTCACTGCAGTTCCAAGGGATCTGATTTGTTCTTCTAGTCTCCCCAGACACTGAATGCACATGGTACCCAGGCATAAACACAGTCACAACACCTGCACACATGAAAATGCATCTTAACAAACTATCATAAATAAATGGGCTATTTAATTGTGAGACCATCTGTCCAGTGCTAAACTGCCCAATAAGCTGGGGGGACTAGAAGACCCTTCTAAGAAAGTGATGATCTGGTCCTGTAATTCAAAGGCTCTTTGCCCTTCTTTTATTGTTGAGGTTCTTGCCTTTAGCACTTCTTCTGGGTTTTAATTCACTGTAGGCTCAATGGGGGTAGGAGGTCAGCATCACATGACCACAGAGGACAGATGAAGTCAGAAAGGGTAAGGAGCAGGTAGCCATGTGTCCTCTGATTCAGAGACTCAGCGAGTGTCTCCTCAGAGTTAAATTTGAGGATCAATGCATAGCAGGAGAGATAATCTAGAGAGGAAATGACTCTCAAGCCTCAAGTTTCCATTCAAACTGGTCTGGATGTATCAATACTGTCTAGAGTGTTACATGAGAGACTGGCTTCCCAGGCAGCTCTCCCCACAGTGGGAAGATATACTGGCCTTGTGACTTTCTGTGACAAGTTTTTCCTGGCCAGTTATTAGCTAGACAGTATGATGTGTGTCAGCCTCATGAGGTTGGTTAGGGTGTGTTTGCCCATGAAAGAAGAATACACAAGCATGTTATGTAGGCTTGAAAACCCAAGTTTAGGCCATGACCAGGAAACTTCACTCAGGTGATAGGATTTCCCTTGGGATTTCTGGTTACAGTGTGTTGAAACATTAAGCTCATTCTGACACTGAATGGTAGCGTGACACTGTTGGCACAGGATTACTGGTTAAGACCTAGGGTCAGAAGGACCTAACAGCTTTCATGCTGTTCACTCTCTGCTTTCTTCTAAACCAGTGGCTGTCAGCCTTCTGGATACTGCAATATAATAAGTTCCTCCTGTTGTAGTGACCTCCAACCATACATTATTATCATTATCATTATTTATTTTTGAGAGAGGTTTTCTCTGTGCAACCTTGGCTGTCCCGAAGCTCTCTCTATAGACCAGGCTGGCCTCAAACTCTCAGATTCACCTGCCTCTGCCTCTTAAATGTTGGGATTAAAGGTGTGTGCCACCACAGCCCAGCAAAATTATTTTCATTGCTACTTCATAACTATAATTTTGGTAGTTATGAATCATAGTGTGTGGTGGAGGCACATGCCTTTAGTCCCAGCATTTGGGAGGCAGAGACAGGAGGATCTCTATGAGTTTAAGGCCAGCCAGCTCGTGGAGGCACATGCCTTTAGTCCCAGCATTTGGGAGGCAGAGACAGGAGGTTCTCTATGAGTTTAAGGCCAGCCAGCTATACAGAAGGTGTTCCAGGACAGTCAAGGCTACACAGAAAGAAAGATACCCTGTCTCCTATCTCCTAAAACAAACACTCAAATCATAATGTAAATATCTGTGTTTTCCGATGGTCTTAGGCAAACTGTGTGAAAGGGCTGTTTGATGCTCCCCAACCCCCCCCCACACACACAAAGGGACCTTGTCCCCCCAGGTTGAGAACTGCTTTGGCTCCAAGTCCAAACAAAAGTAACAAACCAGACTTGCTAAAATTTAGAAAGCCACCTGCCCTTGACCATATCCTGATCTAACTTTATGATGCTTGTACTCATTGGCCTCTGAGAAATAAATGCAACACTTCCTACTGGGGCTCACTGAGTATGGGAAGTGTTCTTTGGTGCTCAGTTGATCTGCACTACTCTACTTTCTTCTCAGATTCAGAAAATCACCTCCTTAACCAACTGTCTCATACATAGTTACAGTTCTCAGGGAGGCACTGTGGAAGAATTCTGTTTACTTCAAAACAGTCATCAACACACCTCCTCACCCACCAGCCAACACAACTCCCAGCTCATCAACCAGCACACAGACATTGTGTTCTTCCAGGATCCGCCATCTGAGACCAGCTCCTTAACAAAATTATCCCAGGTCTTAATGTTCTCTCTTCTATGACATAAATGCCTTTTTCAAAGAGACGAGTCAGCTGCTGCTTGGAGACTGTGTTAGCCATCTTTATTGCACTCAAAAGAACAATGTAAGACACACACAGCGGATATTAAAATAGGTGGTAGCGGCGGTTTTTTGTTTCTTGTTTTTTAATTCTTTTTTAACTCAGTTAAATTTTTATTCAGTGAAAAAAGTTGACACCAAGACAAAAAAAAATTATCTTAAAATTGTGCAACAATGTAGTAAAATCTTCAGCAGAAATCAGTGACTTGGAAACCTAGCAAGGCGATTGAAGTTATAAATACCTAATTTGACTTTGGAGAGAAACAAGTACACAGTGTTTCACCTTAAATAAGAGCAGAACAGGCCTTGATTTTGCTGCAGATACTTCTGACTTTGCCTAAAGTGTCTAATAAGTCTTAACAAGAGTCTTTAAAATGAGGAGTGACATGGGATATATGAAGGTAATAATATTCCACTTCGGCGTTCATGCTCAGACCGTTGAAGTTATTACACATGAAATGAATGCCATTCTTGGGTTATCACTCGGCTCTGATGATTAAATTTATAATATGGCTGCTCAAAACAATATGGGCAGAAACACATGCAATTGATCCTCCCTCAGCCACATTCAGCGGTGGTATTCCATCGGAGAATGCACTTCTCTGTCTAGCCCACAGTGCATAGCTCTTGTGACTTATTCCATATCTTAGTCTTGCATAGGAAGTAGTCTATATAAACTTAATGCTCTGGCTTTTATTACACAAAAGTTGTACCTGAAAAGCAGCACACACTCCAGCTAAGAAAAACATCCTAGGAATGCTGAAATACAATCCTGACGCAAGAAAAGCGTCTGCAGAGTTTAGAGTCGGTTCTTACAGCGGCAATGGGGATGGAATTCAATTAGTCATATACCTGAATTTCTCCTGAGGGGACCTCGCCTTACCTCTGCCAAAGGAAGAGACTTCTCAGGGACTCGCTATGGCCCTCTTCATGGGACAGAGAACTAACCTATGAGATGAGGTTCGGGCCCAAGGAATAGAGTCGTATTACTTGTGCTGACCACTGGGGGCCATGTGAAGGCGGATGCACTGAGGAGACACTGGTGCTTATCTGCAAGGGGCTCAACAATATCACTGGCCTTCTAGTTCCTTCTAGACACACCTAGAGTCTTCTGAAGGACCTGCTCTATACATTGGAGAGTGGAGTTTAAACTAGCAGGACATTAGTGTATCTGGAGAGGAGAGAGCATGCAAGTGACTGTCCCCTATCAGCTTGCAAACATACCTAGTGATGCAATCAGGGGTAGCACCTGAAGAGTCATTCCTCCAAAAGCCAGAGCACCAGCCAGGCACTCACAGCAGGCCAAGCTCTCTGGCTTGCCATGCATCAAGCACTGATAGATCCTCACCTGTGTGCTCACATGTGATCCCTCTCCATAGACCTTGGAGGAACTCTCCTGTGTCACCACATCCACATAGACCCAAGTCCCACAAAGCTCAAAGGGTATTCAATACCAGAAGGAGAAAAAAAATCAGTTCCCACACAGTCAACAGAGAACCAAGTACCTGGTGTTCCATTCCCTGTGAGGTGGGAACTTTCCAAGACTACACATAGTTTAGTTTTAATTTCCTATTGTCACTCCAACCTCTGGACTCTTGCCGATGACGTGGATACATCAAAACCTTCACAAAGATAAGCAGAGGAAAACAGGAGTGCGTGCTTGAAAAGTTCACAAAAATATACAATTTACACATAGCTGCATCTATCTGGCTTAGTCTTCGGGACCTCAGCTCTGCTATTTATACAAAATATTCTAGCCTTAAATGGCTACATGTTTTCAAACAGCACAGTGCATCTCCCGAGGGGAGGGGTGGCGGTGGGTCTGTACAGTACTATGGTTCAGCATCGGGAGGCCCTGGAGACTGGCCTCTATGCTTGGCAACAACTCACGTTGCCTGCAGGAGACATATGCTCTGTGAAAAGGCCTGCCTGCAGAATAATAGACAATAATGCCACAGAGCCTTTTACACCAGCTTCTACAAATGCCACCAAAAACTTGGCAGGAAAAGAAAAGGAGAAAATATACTTTCCTAGCAGTTCAATTCAATGGCTTGCCTCCCACCAGACTGTTAATCTTTCAGCTACTTAAAGACTTTGTTTAAGTGGGGGTGGTAGGGCTGGAGGAACATTGAGCAAAACTTCAAAGCAAGACAAGATAAAGCTGAAGAAATTCCAGTCTGGGGGAAAATAATGGAAAAGAGGGTGAGAGAAAGAGGAGAAAAATAAGTTATAAGACAACTGACTCCTTATTCCTAGCATTTGATACCAGGAACTACAGCCACATAGCACACTACAGATCTACAGCTCAAAATGCTCATCTAATATACATATATATCCTTAAAAAAATTGGCTCTTACTTTCCAAACAATCCTTAGGTAAATTGAGACTCTATTCCCACCCAAGGGTGATACTTTTAGTTAAAAGAAACCAAGCACTTGTGAGGAGGGGACACATTGCATGGAAGGGGTGGCAGGTTTCACAAAACTTGCACACAGAAAACATGTATTCAGAGGCGTAACTTTGGAATATTCCCAGAGCTTGCTGCTTTTCCGCTGGCAGGAAATCCTCAGTGAGGTTGTTCACGACACGCTAGAGCTTGCTGCTTTTCCGCTGGCAGGAAATCCTCAGTGAGGTTGTTCACACGGCACAAGTCACGACACGCAGGACATCGGTGCCTGCACACTGGACTGAAGGATGTGCAGAGGCCACAAAGAAGTCCACAGAACTTTCAAGTGACCATGGCATGAAACATGGGGGTGGGGCTGTGTTTAGACACACATGGTGTTTCACAGAGAAAGCAAATGAACAAATCTGCCGATGGAGAAGTCAAATGCTTACATCACCTCCATCCCTGGCAATACCTACAACACTCTCTATGGTTGGGTGGGAGCACAGGCTAGGGAAGTGGGGTTGGGAGGTAGGGGTCAAGGTGGGGATCCAGAGAAGGCACTGACCAAATTCAAAATGACTGCATATATCAGTATGGACTTTTGAGGACAATTCAGTGGCTTAAACCCAATATAAAATTTTACACTTGAAATTCTTTGGTGGTGAGTGAAAACAAAAGGAAAACTCAAATTAAAGATGGAGACATGGCATACTATATATATTTGCAATGCATATCTATCATGGCACAGATCTAGAACTTTCTCCCACAACCACAGTAAATTTTTTTTCAAGTGACAAAGATCCCAGTGTATAAGAAAGCAGTGTCAACACTCGGCAGCTTCCAGAGGTACGCTTTGTACAGAGACATGCACGGTAAAAGCCCACAGATTCCTAGAAGACAGGGTGTGTGGCTTGCAGGGCTTCCTAGGCTCTAGTTCAGCTGAATTGGAATCTAGCACTGAGCCAGAATTCTCTCCTGTCCCTGACACAAGCAAACCAAAACAGATTGCTCCTGCTCCTCCACCCCTACCCTGATGGGCAAGGGGCCTTAACACCTGGGTTTCAGACGACCACTAAAATATGGCCTTATACAGAGTCCCAATAAATTAATAAAAACAACAGAAACAGGAACTTCCCCTACAAGACACCCACATTTATGTAAACTAAATCCAAAAAAAAATAAAATGTAAAATCAGAGCAGTTTTCAAGGAGAAATGTGATTCTGCCCATCACCCTCTCTTGAAGTTTTTATTAAATACATTTCTGTGTCTTAGAAAAATAAAAAGAATGGTCAATTTACTGAACCAAAATGATCTCACAGACTTAAAAAGCATGCCCAGCAAGCACAGCTCTGTAAGACGACACCAATGTCAAATCCATTCAACCTGCTTTCAATTCACAGTTGATACTACAAAGTTTATTCATTCCTTTCTCTCCTTTTTTTGTTTGTTTTGTTTTTATGTTTTTGTTTTTGTTATTGTGGTGGTGGTGGTTTTGGCCCATATAAAAATAACATATTGCAACTCAAAGTGCATCTTTTAAAATAAACCATCAACTATCTTTATCAAATAAAATATTTACACCATTTGGTTTCTAATGAGAAAAGCTCCTTCACGCTATCACCATGGGGACATCGTCTGAGAATCCAGTTATCATAGGAGCATCTTCATCGTCCTCTCCTGAAGACAAAACAGTCAAGCCTTGGTGAGTTCCAGCGGAGTTTTATACGACCCCACATGCCACCACTCTGCCCATGCCCATAGCCTTACAACAACTCCCAGCTAAACCAACACTAACGAGTCCTGAATCCTAGCTTGGTTTTCCTCTGCCATGCTCAGGTCACCTTCTTCCCTTTGCTAAATAACCAAACTTATTTTAATTGTTGGTTTTCCTCTGCCATGCTCAGGTCACCTTCTTCCCTTTGCTAAATAACTAAACTTATTTTAGTTTAGTTTATTGCTGTTTAAAGTAAAATCCGTAGCAAGTGAATCTCATTCCCTAGGGCTAAATGGGTGGGATTGGTTTCTCCTACTTGAATTATCTGTCCTCTTTTGAATTGGAACTGCTCTGATGAAACAGAGATTGGTTGGAGGGGCTTAAGAATTTTGAGGGCAGCTTCCCAGACTTCATGGCTGTCCCTTTGAGATTCCTGTTGCTTGGTATTTAGTGACTACTGAAGGGCAACCCTGCTAGGCCAACCAAAAGGAGCCGCCCAGGCACACAAGGCACTCCACGTGTTTGCTGATTAGCAAAAACAAAAACAGAGAAGGCAAGGAAATACAGGTGATCTCATATGATCACTGGGGAGAAAAACATGCCACTTCGTAAAGAGAAGAGTAGCAACAACTAGACTATAGGAAAAGTAAACACACAAACTCACATCTGGTGCCTTGAATTTGGGGAAGCCTTTCCTACACTCACTTTAGTGCATGGCCTGGCTACTAGCTCTTCCAGTTTAGGGCTTGCAGCATTTGAACAATTCTCACAATGATCAAAAGATTTCCCTTTCTCCTTACTGTACTTCACCCCCACATAACCTAAGAAGAAGCTGTGCTCGAAATGAAAAGAGGTGTGGCTGACTGAAGGGCTTCCTTCACACAGAAGCTGACAGGAGATGTGATACTTTCATTTTGAAGCCCTCCAGAGGAAGGATTAGACCAGCATCAGGCGAACATACTTGAGGATTGTTTTGAAATCTGGGGAGCACTCAAACCCAGGCCCTAACACTCCCTGTTCAAAGGGTACCCTTCCACTTCTCCCCTGCTAGGGGCCAGAACTACACAACTAAAGAAAATGTGGTATTTTGACCAAGGATCAAGAAAAGCAGAGATCCCAGAGAGTGGAAACACTGGAGCCTGGAGCAATGCCTGTCCTGAAAGGATGAGCTGCAAGAATCTTCCCTGATCACATCTCAGGCTTTATGGTGCTTGCCCCTGGGACCCCTAGCTACTTACCCAGGTCATCTCCAGAGGAGAAGATGGCCGAGCCCAGCCTGGAGCTGTAGTGGCTGTTGGCAAAAGCAGTAAAGCTGCTTTGTAGGCGACGATGCTTTGTGTAGAGGATGGCAAAGCCGACACCCAGGCTCAGCAGGATCAGGAACAAGATAGGGACCACTACAGCTGCAACATCAGTAGACCTGGCAGCCTGGATGGCTGCTGTATCTCCACCTGCAGAGGCAACATCCCCTGCCAGTGAACCTCCTACCTGAGGGCCAGAAAAGGATGGCCCAGGCAACTTCTCCAGGTCCCACCCATCCAACAAAATAGAAAGGAAAAACAAAACAAAACAAAACAAAACAAAAAAACAAAAAACGCCCAGAGTTTGCAAGGGTTCCAATAACCAGCTTTCTTTTCTTGTGTTACATGGTCCAGCACATGCGTGAAGCTGATGTTTCCCAAGTACTTACCATGAGCCTGAAGACAGTGGGCCTTGCACATGCAAATACAGTAATTACATTAGACTCCTAATCACTGCCTTGTTGGTTATTTAGATAATCTCTTGGAAGGGAGACCTTTGTTGGGACATCAACACTGATTTCATTAGCATTATTACTTAAGGCCGCTTGCTTGCCTACATAAGAGGATGTGAAATCAGACCACTAATTAACGAGATTGCAATTATTTCCCCCTACTTGGCACCAAAGTCACTCTGCACTGCAATTACCTGAAGCTCCGTTAAGTGACACAACGAGATTCTTTTACTGCAATACTGACTCAACAGCTCACCAAGTTTTATGGGTTCTTTTTCCTTCTCTTTCACTTAAGTAAAAAAAGAAAAAAAATCCTCTCATATACATGTGACATTTTAAAAAGCTTGTTACTAATCCACTTAGCTGTCTATAACATGACAAAGATCCTGCCTTCCCATGATCTTAAGCAAATATGGCTTTAGATGGCTCACTGATAGATAGGTCCTCACTGGGGCTCTGGAGAAAGGTCCTTCCTCATCCTTCAACTCCAAATCTGTTGGAGTTGGGGCCATCATCTTGAGAGGGAGTAAAATTTTCACATTATAAATCTAGGGGCTAGTCTGAACTTGGGGGCAGAAAAACAGAGCTTTAGATTCAGTTTTTAGCAAAGAAGGCAGAATAACCTTTCCTTGGGCATAGTTTCTATAGACCTGGTACAGGAGGAGATGGCATAAGCAAGTTCCCATCTCACAGAGAAAGCATCATAGTTACATAGGGACTCAAGAAGACACAGTATCCATCAAAATGAACTGGAGGACAGCCATATCTTATAGGTATAATCTAACAAGTCAGTATATATGTGTCTATTTAAATTTCTTTTATTTTCTGGACATGAAAAAAAAAATATTTTCCAGCCTACCCCAATGGTGAGGTGGTAAATTAAAGAACTACTCCCTGGCTGGACTTCTGAAGGTTCAATCAGCTTGATTCCCTAAAAGCAGCTGCCAGGGGCCTCACAACAGACAGTTTTACCTCAATTTGCATTTCACAGACTAATAACTGGTTTTGATTAAAACCAGGGCATATTAAGGAAAAACACATTGTCAAAAGTTTTGCTGTTTGTTTTCTGTAGGACCGTCCCAGAGCCTTGACAATGCCATAACTCTCTAAAGGGAGGGAGAAGAATGACGTGTTTAACCTTTCTAATGCTGTGACCTTTTAATACAGTCCTCATGTTGTGGTGACCCCCAACCATAAAGTTATTTTTGTTGCTACTTCATAACTGTAACTGAATCATAATGCAAATATTTTTGGAGCTAGAGATTGGTCAAAGGGGTCGAGACCCCCAGGTTGAGAACCACTCCTCTAAGAGACTGTTTATTCTGGAGAGGCTGTGCTGGTCCCAGCCCAGGAAGGATTGTGAGGGAACATTTAACAGCAACCCTACCTAGTTCTTGGCTAGAGATAAAGGTGTCTGCAAAGTCTAGCAATAAGATATTTGTTGAAATCCTGGCCAAGCTACAACGTAAGTACTATGCTTACAAAGCAGCACTGTGGCCCAAGGCTGGTAGTATCTGTGTGTTCCAAAGATAAAGATCCCAGGTTGTGAAAGGAAGTGCTAGCTGTACATGGTAGGATGAGCTAATGACATGGAGAATTACAGGTCTATTAGCACATTCAAGACTCCGAGCAGTCTCATGAAAACCACCAACAGAATTGTTGTTTGTCTAGCCTGATGGATGGTTAGTCATCATGGTCAGCTTGACTAGATTTACTCAGTCATATGGGAGACTGAGTCGTATTTCTGGGTGTGTGTCTGTAAGGGAATAAGTGGGGGTGGGAGACCCACCTTCAGTGTGGGTGGCAACATCCCCATGGGCTTGGGGCTTGGATGCAATGAAGGAGAAGGAGAGAGTTAAGCACCAACATCCTTCCCCTTCAGCTTCTTAATTGCTAACAGCCTAGGTAGCTGCCCCAGACTCCTGATGCCATAACCTTCTCCTCCATGAAGGGCTCTATCTCCTCAAACTGCCAGCCAAAATAAATCCCCCATTCTCAACTTGCTTCTTGTTATATATCTGGTCACAGTTGCAAGAAAAAAAAAGCAACTAACAGACATACTGAGTTTCCTAAATATAGCTTACTTCTTACCCTTTTCTGAACTTTACACTCAATGTGGTACCTTGCAATTCCAGTTCTTTCTATACTAGTACCATGGCCGGTCAAGAAGGATTTATTAACTGCATCAGTATCAGACTAAATTGGTAGCTAAGTGATTTTCTTAGGCACACAGACAGTACTTGAAATGTGTTTTAGGAAGACCATCTGAAAACTATTACTCCCCCTCCTTCCTAGGAACAGGACAGAGACAGGGTGGTCACACAGCAACTCACCTGAGCTCAGTTCATCATACAGCAACACGGCAGGCTCCCCGCAGATCTGGCTGCCAAAGAGACATCGAGCTTGGACTGTGAAGGTGTAATTATGACCCATCTTCAAGTTAGTCACTTTAAAGAAATTGTCAGTGGTATTCCCAAGGTAAGCGGTGAGATTCATAGCACTGTCAAACATATGGATCTCATACCCCTGCAAACAAGCACACAGAGGTTTCAAGAAGGGGCCTGATGGTTTCTGTTACCGGCTCCAGCTATGCCTGAGTGGGGTTTTATGGATGCTAATATACTTTATGTTTCTTGCTAGTTCTTTTGATTATGTGATTGAGATACCAAACTTAGAAAACAGGACTTTCCCCACTGACATCGCACAGAAAAGGAAGGGTATGGTACAGCTACAGGAGAACCATTCCACCCATGGTCTACTCAAAGTTCCAGGCAGCAGCTTCTTGTGTCCAACAAGACCAATGCCTCAAAGAACCTAGGCACATTAGGAATCAATACTTTGCAGTATGAGGTTTGACTAGTGACACCTCCTGGTGGCAGTGGGTGCAGGCAAGACCAGGGAACATGCAATCGGAAAAGAAGTTGTTGGAAGATCGCTGTCATTCACTTCCTGTCCTAGCTTTCTAACTCTTTGTAGGCTGATTCCAGAGCCAAACAGCCTGATGTTGACTGAGAAGCCCTTAAGCAGGTTGAGGGCTCTATTCACAGGAGAACAGTATGAAATAATCTTTTCCCTTGGCTCCAATGCTGAGCACAGTCCAGCTGCAGGAAGCACCATGAGTCTCCCACCTATGTCTTTCTTCCAAGGACAAGCACATGGATATGGGTGCTAAGTGCAGAGATTCTCGAGTTTCAAGGGCAGCACAAACATTTCATCAATCCTCAAATGGTCCTTTCACTCAGAAGTTCACTCCCCTGCCCCATGCTTTCCTTCTTCACGATGTCTGCCAGCTAATGAACTCATGTCTAAAACAGCATGCCAACTAGAGTTCCAAAGTCACGGAGGATGCACGAGCAACTTACCCTGGTTTCACTGAACTGCTTTTCCTTTAAAGCCAGGCTTTTCCAAAAAAGAAGAACATTGTCATTTTCAGTTATGATTTTTAAGGCGTCAGGTGCTGATAATGAAACTGAAAAGGGAAGAGTAAAGCCACTTGCAGTTAGTACACAGATATCTGAACCTTTGTGTCCTCATCTAGGAAAAGAGGCTAGAAAACATTCCCAGCCTTTAAGAGCTGTGACAATGATGGGACAATGAAAAAAGCAAAACATGAATACTGCTCAGCATAGCATTAGGCTAGTGGTGGTGGTTATCAGTTCTGTAACCATCAAATCTGGACATAAGGTAGAGGCAGCAAGAACACATAATGTCTGAACGCAGGGCCCTAGAGGGAATGGAGAATGGCCCTGGTCCACCGCATTCATCAACCGCCTGAAAGGGCCTGGACCCTCCCCTCCCCCCACTGCAACTGTTGACACTGTTTGCTGTTATCTGGGTAGTAGATATCATGACTCACTCAGGGGGCAGGAGCCTAACCAACCTTCTAGCCCACAGCATTTATTACTTGTCTCCCTCCATTCTATCTGCCTGATCAACAAGAAGGCCACTGTGACACAGTCCTGGTCCCCATTGTAATGCCTATCCTCACTGGGAAATACTGCTGGGTTTCTTAATTCTCCTGCACATTTCTCCTCTCCTCCCCCAGCAATGGTAAGACACTCTAAAGGAGGGTAGTGTGAAAAAAGACTCAGAGAGACTGGATGTGGCTCAGTGGGAGAGTGCTTGCCTAGCATTTAAGACACTCTCAGTTCAAGTCCTTGAACTGCATTATAAAAAAAAAAAAAAAAAAAAAAAAAAAAAAAAAGACTTCAAGGCCCGGCCAGGGAGGAGCTCCCTGAGTCCAGAAACACCTAACTCTTCTTTCCCGCTCCGCCGGACCTGTCCCATACCAAGAGCCCTCATCCAGTGGCTGATGGAAGCAGAGACAGACATCCACAGATATACTCTGAACTGAACTCTGGAACTTAGTTGAAGAGAGGGAGGAATGAAGATCGAAGGGGTTGGTACCAGGTTGGAGAAATCCACAGAAACAGCTGGCCTGAACAAGGGGGAACACATCGACCCCAGATGCTGTCTGGGAGGCCAGTACAGGACTGATCCAGACCCCTGAACATGGATGTCAATGAGGAGGCCTCTGCACTCCAGGGGGCCCCTGGTCGTGGATTAGTATGTTTCCCTGGTGTAAGAAGGGACTTTGAGAGCCCATCCCACGTGAAGGGATGCATTCTTGCCCTGGACACATGGGTAAGGGCCCAGGCCCAGCCCAGGATGATGTGGTGGACTTTGCTGAGCCCTGGTTGAGGACCCTACTCTGCCTGGGGAGTGAAGGGTGGATGGGGTGGGGGTAGGTCGAACAATGCTTGCATGTCCCACAAAGATACTGCAGCCTTCCTCTGTGCCAAGGTTGCTCAGGTGCAACAAGGCCTTTCTTCCTCTCCACTTACCTGTGGTGATTTTTATGCTGGACTCCTTGCTCATGTTCCCCAGCTGGACAACAATATGGTATTTTCCTCCAGGTTCCAGCTTGTTAAGGCTGTACTCCACAGTACTATTGCGAGATTTGACTTTGTAGCTCCTGTCCGTCTTTCTGATCAGATCTTTCACTGCAATTGCATAGAACTAAGACAGACAGAGGGAGGATCTGAGTTGCAAGGCCTTTTACTTGAAATCAGCTACTTATGAACAATACCATATACAATGTAAATACCGTTGTTCTAGTCACTGTTCTATTGCTATGAAAAGACACTCTTATAAAAGAAATCATTTAATTGGAGCCTTGCTTACAGTTTCACAGGTTAGTCTATTATCAGCATTTCAGGGAGCATGATTGTATGCATGGCGTTAGAGTACTAGTTGAGAGCTTTACATCCTGATCCAAGGCAGAGAAAGAGAAAACCTGAGCCTGGAATGGGCTTTGAATACCTAAAAGCCCACCTGCAGTGACACACTTCCTCCAACAAGGCCACACCTATTCCTATAAGGCCACACCTCCTAATCCTTCTAATCCTTTCAAATAGTTCCACTCTCTGATAACTGAGCATTCAAATATATGGGACTGTGGGAAAGGAACAAAGAGGGGTCAGGAATGCAGAAAAGGGAGAAGGAATGAAAAGTAGAGAAGGAAACCAAAATACTCCAGGAAAAGACACATTAACTGTGAGACCAACAGCTAGGCTTCTGTCTCTCCATCATGACAATGGTTACTGGACACTGATAGAGGGAAGACATAGATGAAGACGCTCAACCCCAGCTCTAAAACACAAACAGCCCCACCTTCTCTCTCCCAGGCTGCTGCTTATATTGGGACTGTGGAGGGAAGGGGACATGTAGGACACAAAGAAAACTTGGTCACCAGGGAGAATCTGGGAATCAAGAGGAAACCACGCTGATGAGGTGTAGGGGTGAGGAACAGAGGGCAAAGCAGTCCAGAGCAAGGAAGAGAGGGGTATTTCTAGGGTCAATGTCCTGTCCTATTTTTCAGCATAGGATAGGAAACTCTGAAAAAGTTGAGATGGCAGGCATTTTAGGCTTGAGGGTCTCAGGATACAACCACAAATATTTCTATTGGTAGTGGCACAAAAACAGACACAGGCCATATGTACGCAGGTGGTTTGTGGCCCTGGTTCCAATTAAATATTAGTTAAAAAAATGGATCATAGGTTGGATTTGACCTGCAGGCCTTTGTCTGCTTGAGCACGGGTTAATGGAGGGGATGGAAGTAGCTGAGGAAGGACAAAAATATGGTGGCAGGGAACAAGGGAATAGGGCCAACCCAAAAGGGGTCCCTGTGAAGACCTGTCTTTGACCACACAGAAATGGGGACAAGGCCTGCTGAGCTCAGCTGCTACCTGTGTCCCCTGTCACACTACCTGACCCTTTCCACTGCACTCCACATACCCAAAGCATGCTAAGCATAAGCATGGCGGGCTGCATGCCTTCCCACTCACCAAGTCCTGGTCAGGAGAGTCATAGGGCGATTCCCACTTGATGACTGCTGAGGTTTTGCCTATTTGAACTGCGTGCAGATGACGAGGTGGAAGTCTGCTGTCTGGGATCATCTTCACTACAACATAGTCAGAAGATGGTCCTTGGTAAGGGATCACCACCCGGACCTAAAAGCCAAGCACACACAGGAAAAACAACACCACATGGGGGCTCATGTAACCTCTGACAAATTACTTTTCAATAAGTCAATGACACATGACCACCATCAAAATTCGATTAGAACAAAATAATATAAAATAGTTCCCTGCCTGGCCTAGACCGTTTTTTGTGTTTTAACTTCCTTCTAGAAATGCCCTAGACATATGTAAGCATAGACACATGATATGTAAGCAAACACACACATGATGCATGTGTGTATATGTGCAGCTTATCTTTTAAAATTCTTTTCCACACAACTATGCTTCCCCTCTTAAAAGCAAATAATATAGGTTTGGATTTTTCTTTGGACACTTCTATATTCTACACCATGGATAAGCCATAATGTATCTTACCAATCTTTTCTTGAAAAATATAGGTTATATCAAACCTTTTGTTCTCACTGGTAATAGTGGCCTATGTGCTAGCTACTTTTTTACTTTTTTTTTTTTTTGGTCACCTTAACACAAGCCAGAGTCATCTGGGAAGAGGGAACCTCAATTGAGGAACTGCTTCCATCATTTAACTGTTGGGAAAGAAAATAACCTATGGGTATTTTCTTCATGGATAATTAATGTGGTAAGGCCCACTTGGGCAGGTGGTCCTGGGTTCTATAAGAAAGCAGGCTAAGCAAGCCTTGGGAGGCAAGCCAGTAAGCAGCACTCCTCCATGGCCTCTGCATCAGCTCCTGCCTGCAGCTCCTGCCCTGACTTACCTTAGTGATGGACTATAACCTGTAGGATAAAGTAAACCTTTCCTTCCCCCAAGTTGCTTTTGGTCATGGTGTTTATCTCAGCAGTATGCAGAGTATGGCAGCCCACACACTTTCCTTCACATCTTGGCACACCCATGTGTTAACAATACAGATGGTAGATTGCTAGGACTGGACTCAGACAAAGGCATTTTATGTATCTGAACTTGTGAGTCATTTGCCAAGTGACCAATGCTCCACCTGTGAGCTGCATTTAGGAAACTGGCTGTGGGAACTTACAAAGATGAATCTAGGTACCCAGATCCCCCATTCTGTATTGAGCTCAGGAGCCCCAACACTTAAGAAGCCTCCTTTAAATGCAGGAACTCCTGTTTCCCTGCTGCAGAAAGCTTACCAGAAACAAGTACTGCTCATCCTTGTTGACAATGACTGTCTTATTGTGGAGTGAAGTGGTTACGCTTCTAGGGTTTCGGTAGAGGTCAAGGAAGGATGTGGCATAGAAAATGCCATACACCTGGTAAAGGCAGAGAAGGGAAAAGACCATCAGCTGATGGGTCAGTGCCCTCTTCTGAAATTGCTGAGTTGAGACATTGGAAGTACTTCTAAAGCACACAGAGAAATCGTCCTTCAACCTTTATTGTGTTGACCGCATTTAAGAACAGGCATGCCCTTTTTTTTCACCTGCAAAGGACAGCATGAGCAGCTCCTGTTCTGACCTCGGAGCTTCTTCTCGAGGAGGGACGGACAGGGAAGGAAAAAAAGAACCAATTCAGCCACGAGAGCAAATGAGAAGTCTTGCTGCCACTCCAAGTATGAAGTGTCAGAGCAAAGAGGGCTTACCAAAGAGGGGTGACATTGTACAATCAAACAGCAGTGAAGGAGAGCTGAGCGGCTACATTGAGGGGTCAGAAGCTGTGGTGGGAGTTGTCAAGTGAGTGTGGAATTTCAGTGGAATGGACACAGGAGGACAGGTGCAGCCAGTTTCCCCAACCCTCCAAGTCTTCCTTTAGTAGGAAGAAGTCCCTACCACTGTGGAGGCTGGAAGAGCCAATAACAAGGTGTCAACCAATGAGATGCCAGCAGGTGTCAGCCAATGAAATGTAATCAGAAGTGCCCAGTGGGAGGGTTCAGCAGGCTCTTTTAATAGCAAGACAGCCGGTCTGTCTTTCTGCCCTCTTACAGCCTGGTGTTCAGACAATGACTGCAGCTCTAGCAGGCTGTTGGCCCGGGAGATGAACTTAAAGATGCATACCATTGGCTGGAGAAGACAAGGCCTGTGCCATATCCAAGGTGAAAGTGTGTTGCTGCAATATAGTCTCGGAACTTCACTTGACCAAAGGTATGTCTAAAGCACACTCTGTGGGTCCATGTAGGAAGCTGAAGGGATCTCAAACCAGGGTACTGGACTAAGCATACAGCAAGGAATGACAGCTGAGTGAGTTCATATGGTAAGGAACAAACTGAAGGAGATAAAGTAGGGTCGCAATACTTCCTCCCCGAGTACATGTACAAGAAGCCAGGTGCCTGCAGAAAAAGAATGCATATCTACAGGTACCCTGGGCATAGAGAGGTGACTTCCTGGGGAGGGCAATGTCCCAGCTAGCAACAGTGCCACTTCCTGTAGCTCTGCTTAAAAGAAGATTTGGAGAAGTGGGAGCTTGGATAGTGAAAGAGGAAAGGTGGCCTCCCAGGGGCCAGTTAACTGGGAAGAGCCTGGAAGAGAGAAATTGAGGGAATCCAAGGCTGGAAAGCAAATGCATATGGGATAGCATGAAAGGAACAAGGGAACCACAAGGCTTATATGGAAGGCCATGGTCCCAGTAGGGGCTTGGTGCTCAGAAATAGGATTATCTCGTTATAATAGGGCCTGTGGTACATGGGTTTGGGTAGCAGTAATGGGAAAAGGCTCCCAGAGCCCATGGGAGTCAGGAGACAAGAAGAGCCCCTCATAGATGAAGACAATAACCATGAGTGCTGCCAGAGTACTCGTGAAGAGACAGGAACAGGTGACAGTCACCCACAGTGGGCCTCATTTGACTCATCACATATGAAAGCTAGCTGTGTATGACCAGTGAAGGCACAAGCTGGGCATGGCAACAAGGCTGCTTTTCCAAACTGCATGTAAAGAGAGGGTCTAGCACTGTGTGATGCCCCCTGTTCTGTAGACTACACCTGACTCTGGAGGATTGCTCAGTAGAACAAGTGGGCCTGCACCAAGCTAAATCTATTGATAGACAATAATATCTCCTTGTGGGTATATACACCCTCCTCAAGGTAAAAGGGAATGCTAAGGAGGGCTCAGGCTTTTGTCACTGTCTCTTGCTCAGCATCAAATTGTGGGGCATGCAAAAGAGCAGAACTCTATTAAATTAAAAAAACTTGACCAAGCTCACCCACCACTCAGGATAATTTTCTTAGCACATGAATATAGCACTCCACATATGTGTTCTACCCAATCACAAGTATCAGAGAGCTTAGGCCAGCAGAGCGAGGTTGGGGATGCAGGGGCTGGCCAGGCCCCTTCAGAAGGTAATCCTGAGCTGGTGGGTGGCTTGTGTTTGGAGAAATAAAAGAATCAAGAGCAGCAACAGGGAAGAAAGTCCCATGGCAATCCAGGGGCCTAAACTTAAGCAGGGTTCAGACTACCTTGGGATGGTTAACCTTGTCTACTTACCACATTCTTGGGGCCAGTCCATGTGCACTCCACAGCAGTCTGGTTGATGGCCTTGGCTTTGAGACTAGGAGCAGGTGGGCGGATGCCTCTGGTCAAGACATGCTCGAATGCCAGGGGACTATCCCCCAAGTCTGTCTTAGCCCAGGCGGAAATCTCATAAGATGTGTGAGCTGTCAGATTGCTAACTGTGAAAAGAAGGAAGGGGAATGCCACGGATGTGTATAAGTAAGGTGTATGTGCGTGTGTGGGGGGTGACAGCCCATAATTTGTTTGGGTTTGCATACCTTACTTTTCAATAGTTTGCAAATTCATTTAGTATTTTCCTGGTTTTTAGCACATGTAATTCTTAGAGACTACGTAACTTCTAAAGCTGACTGTGTGGATGTACAGTTGGCAAAACATTCCTGCAGTCATTTGGCCTTGTGTGACAGGAGGCCTGAGACTCACACCCATCAATTCAACTATTCCAGGAAATCAAGAGGGTCTCAAAAGCTGTGAACTAGGACATCCATTTCCGTATCTGCTACAGTAAACATGGACAGCTAATGGTGCTGGGGTGGGGCATTTTCTTCAGTGGTGGAGCCACTGGTAAGTTGCCCTCATTCCAGTAAATAACCAAGCACTCATGTTCATGAAAGCAACCTCAATGAAACTCATAGCTACTCGTC